TGCCAGCTTTTCTTGCTCAGAGTCACCCACGGACACCGGGATGATTTTCCACATCACCAGGCTACACAATTGAGCCATTGTGTGTGACTAGTGTCCTCTGTGCATTCAGAAATGCCACATGATGCCATTTTACTGTGAAAGTTGTCAAGATGCCTATTAGAGGGGGGCTCGCCAAGTCAATCCCACTGTTTTTTCTGTTCTTTTTCTTTCTTTCTTTTTTCTTTTCTTTTTTTGAGACAGGATTTTATTCTCTGTAGCTTTGGAGCCTGTCCTGGAACTTGCATTGTAGATCAGGCTGGCTTTGAACTCAGAGACTTGCCTGCCTCTGCCTCCCGAGTGCTGGGGTAAAGCATGTGCCACCCCATCAGCTCTACTTGGTTTTTTGTGGGGGGGCATAGGAGGTTGAGATAGGCTCTCTTGTAGCTCAGGCTGGCCTTGAGCTTGTGATCCTCCTATGTAGCCTCCTGAGCTGGCATGTCTTCAGGTAGGAAAGAAGCGACAGCCACTTGGAAGTTGTCTTTTGACTACTAGCTTCCTTTTTTCTATGCCAGTTCCCAGCTGTGTGGCTTTGATGAACTTCTTAACGTCTCTGCGCCTCAAGTGTCCCACCAGAGAAATGTGCTTTGATGACAACCGTGTGCCACCTTGCCCCATGCAGAGGGTGGAACTCCAGGCTCTGCACATGCCAAGGGGTGCTCTACCCACCGAGCCCCAGCTCCAACCTTTCTTTAATAATATACATACATACGTATATATGTATGTATGTATCTTTTATTTTTTTGTGTACGGATGTTTGCTTGTGTGTGTGTCTATGCACCACGTTGGGTGCAATACCTGCATAGGTCATTAGAGGGCCTTGGCTCTCTGGGAACTACAGCTACAGATGGTTGCGGGTGCTGGGAATCGAACCTGGCTCTCTGTTAGCCGGTGTGCTATCCACTGAGCTAACCTTCTGCTCTGCTTGGGGCTGACCTCAAGTTCATGGCCTGAGATCAGGTCATTCTGTCCCTCCCCTCTGCCAGCATTTTCTAGACCTCCAGAGAAGGGTGTTGGATGCTGGGGCTGCAGTCACTGTGCGGGCAGCAGGCTGGCTGGACGCGAAGGGCAGACACGAGAAGGGCAGGCGTGCGAAGGGCAGGCGCGTGGGCACACAGGTGTTTCCCGCTGCTCACAGCATCTGGGGTGATGCAAGAGGGTAGCCAGCCCTTCCTTACTCCAGACTTCAAGGCGACCCACAGCATTGCATCCTGTGTCGCCACGCATGGGTGACTTGGTAACATAATACAGGCCTTGAAATCTCAGAAGGAGACAGGCTCAGGTTGTCACAAATTGGGGAGGGGTGGGTGTCATTGGCCTGGGCTCAGTGGGGGCTGGGAACTCTGCTCAGCACCCTGCAGAGCCCAGCCCTCCCCACCCAGAACAACCAGGAAGAGTGTTCACACTGCCAGGGAGGAACTCAAGGTGAAGGTGACTGGGGAAAGTCGGGAAAGGCGCTGTGTGGAGCCAGGGCCACTAGCTCAGCGGGTTCGGCAGCTGACCTTGCAGAGTGAGGTGCGGTGCAATGGGTCTCAGAGCTGCTGACAGCTCAGCCAGTCTCCAGTACTGTGGAGGACAGGGACCCACGGCAGGTCTACTTGTCTGAGAACAGGGTCTCACGTAGCCCAGGCTGGCCCCAAGCTCACCGTGTAGCACAGACTGTCCCGGAATTCCCTGCCCCATGCCAGGGTGACGGGCAAGCGCCATCACACCTGGTTTACATGCAGGGGTGGAATCTGGCTTTGAGTGTAATGGGTGAGCCCGGCACCCACTGAGCCTCGTCCTCAGCCCCTTCAATAAAACAATCCGCTGACAGTGTGAAGTCCCTCCAGGGCTTTGAGCCATGCACAATGTCATGGAGGAAATATTCCCAGCTTTGGTAGCCAAGAGGTCCCTGTTGTGTCTGCTCAGCTCCCCTAGGCAGTGGTGAAGGAGCAAGGTGGTTGCGCCTCTCAGTGGACTTGTTGACAGGAGCAAACTGAGACCACATTTCACCCATGGCTTTGATCTGACTTCTTTAAATTTGCACGACTGAATCCAGTGACCCCCAAGTCATTTTTGTTTGTTTTCAACACCAGGCACTGAACCCCGTGCACAGCAGGCATTGAACCCCGTGCACAGCAGGCATTGAATCACATGCACAGCAGGCATTGAACTCCGTGCACACCAGGCATTGAACCCCGTGCACACCAGGCATTGAACTCCGTGCACACCAGGCATTGAACCAAGTGCACACCAGGCATTGAACCCCGTGCACAGCAGGCATTGAACCCCGTGCACACCAGGCATTGAACCCTGTGCACACCAGGCATTGAACCAAGTGCACACCAGGCATTGAACCCCATGCACACCAGGCATTGAACCCCGTGCACACCAGGCATTGAACCCCGTGCACACCAGGCATTGAACCCCGTGCACAGCAGGCACTGAACCCCATGCACACCAGGCAAACACTCTACCATTGGCTGGGTTTGGTGGTGCACACCTCAGGAGGATGAGATCAGAGGATCTCTGTGAGTTTGAGGACAACCTGGTCTACGTTGTGAGTTCTATGCCAGCCTGGGCTACATACACCCTGTCCCCAAAATTGAAATTTAGTCATTAAGCTTGGCAGTGGTGCCTTTATTTGCTGAGCCAACTCACTGGCCCTCTTCCACGTTTTATTTTGAGACAAAGGCTGGCTGGCCTTGGGCTCCCTCCGTGGCTCAGGCTGGCCTCGGGCTCCCTCCGTGGCTCAGGCTGGCCTCGGGCTCCCTCCGTGGCTCAGGCTGGCCTCGGGCTCTCTCCGTGGCTCAGGCTGGCCTCGGGCTGGTCTTGTCTTGTTCCACAGCCAGGCTTATTCATTGTTGTTGTTTTGTTTTTCTTAAGCAGGGTCTCACTGTGCTTGTCCAAGCTAACTTCAAACTCAGAGCAATGCTTCTGCCTCAGCCCCACCCACACGGACTACAGGCTTGCACTGCCAGCATTCCATTCTTTCAACCATTCTGATTCACTCTGGTTTTCTAGAACTTTCCACCCATAAGGCTGCTGTTGTCTTCCAGTCCAGCCCCAGCTGCACCCTTCACGAGGCTCACGGGTGGCTCACGGGTGAGGACACCTGCTGCCACATCCACCCTCGATGTTCTGAAAGCTTCCTGCAGCACAGCCCCCCTACATGGGGACCATCTCTCCCACCTGTCCCCTCCCTGAGCCCATCCCTCTCTAATTTGCATATCCTGTTTTTAGCATTTTTTTCTGGATTTTACATAATCGTGTCATTAGGAGGCTGTCATGGGAACCAAACGCTCCCTGTTTCAAAGTACCTTCTGGAGCTAATTGCATGTCTACGATCTCCATTTCTTTTTTAAATGAATTTTACATTTTGGGATATATTGACTGAACAAGCTAATGTAGGAGGCCAGGACAGAGGAGTCCCTGCATGCCCCAAATGATGTCCGCATGACTTAGATCTTAGGTGACCCCTGTTCCTCCTACACTGAAGCAAGACTGAGCTCCTGGAGTTGGGATCTCTCAGTCTCCTCCAGGACGAGCCCTGTGAGAGTCTGGCCAGCTTTGTTGCGACATCTTACCCTAGGGACAGTTCTTCAGACTTTGTTTAGATTCACTAGGGCATGTTAAGGAGTCTTGGTAGAGGTCTGAGAATATCCGCTCATTGTGAGCAGCCCAATATTTTCCGTTATTCTTCTCTACCTAGAGCTCAGTGATGGAGCCCCGCCTAGAATCCCCAGTGAGGGGCTGGGGACGTGGTCAGGGTGGAGCCCTGCCCAGAATCCTCAGTGAGGGGCTGGGGGTGTGGTCGGGATGGAGCCCCGCCTAGAATCCTCAGTGAGGGTTTGGGGTTTAGCTCTGCTGTGAGTGGGGACTACAAAGGAAACAGGCTGTGGGTGGGCATGCAGAGCTACAGTGGCCCTGAAGATAAACCAGGCACTGAGCCTGGGGTTCGTGTTTGCAATCTTGACCTCTGCAAGGTTCCACTGTGGGCTCCCGTGCATCTCTTCTTTTGGACATAGGTGCTCTTTACATATTCTTTTTTTACTTCCATTCCTGCATCGTGCGTGCACGTGCCTCGGTGTGTGCGAAGGTCCGAGGACAACTTGTGGCCCTCACTCTTCTTCCACCACCGCGTGGGTCCCAAGGATTGAACTTGGGTTGGCAGGCTTTTCGGTGAGCGCTTGCACTCTGAGCCACCTTGCTGGCCACGGCTCTTTAGGTTTGAATGAAAATTAGCTTATGCAGGTTTCTATTCTTTTCTTGTCCAAAGTGGACCGTCCTGCTGTCCGCTCTGTCTCCACACACCAGTCGCCGTCAGCGGTGGGCGAGCACTGTCAGGTGACTCTGTCCCTCTGGATGCTGGGCCATGCCACACCGGGGGAGTTCCTGGCATGGAAACCAATGACTTTCTGAGCATCCGTAGGGTTCAGGATGTGCCCCCCACCCACAGTGTACCCAGTGCCTGGGGGATCCCATCCTGACCATGAACGAGATCTAGTTGCCTTCCAGGTGAGCGGTCGCGGCCGCAAGGATCCTGAGGTGGGCAGGGAGCCTCCACCTGGACGGTGCTGGCCTTAGCTGGGCATGGTGGCACATGCTCATCCCTGCAGAACTGGGAGCTGAGGCAGAAGGATTTCCAGGAGTTTGAAGTCAGCCTAGGCTATAGTGTTGAGATGTTCCACCCAAAGCATAAAAGACCTTGAACGGTTGGTGTTCAGTCCTAAACTCAACTGTCCTTGTGCCTTGTCCGTTCGGAGCTGTGACAGAGCCGGCTCCGGGTCCAGTCACCTCACGCCCTGGTCCCTGCCTGCTTCATGCTCTCTTGCCTGCACCCCGCACCCCATCCAGAGGAAGCCGTCACCCTCTGCTCCCTTGCCTTGGCAATCAGTGTTCCTGGGTGACATATTTAGATGGTTGCTATGGTGATGAGGTTGACAGCCTCATGTGGCACAAAAGACGGGCCCCGCTCTGCTATATCGAGCCTGCAGAAGACTGGGTGCCGGTGCCACGTGCCCCTGTCAGCGTAGGAAGGGAAGGGGGCTCAGACAGCCCATCCCACCCACTCGCTCCCCACGGAGGAGCGGCGACCCGCGGGAGGAGGTATGGCTGTCACCTTGAGAGATGTGTAGGGGTGACTGGGTCCTCCAGGGGACACTGGGCTATGCCTGGGGACATGTGTGGCTACCCCAACTCGGAGTGTGCTTGGCATGTGGCGGGCGGAGGCCAGAGATTGTTGCGCATAATCAGGACCAGGGTACACACTGAAAACGGTATGCACAGTGTCCCCAGGGTTGTGGGAAGCTGGGTCTCCCCTTGCTCTGCCCATGGCTGTGACAAGCACCTGACATAGCAGCTACAGAAGGAAAGGCTTGTCCTGCACGGTTAGCACTGTCCGTCACACCGAGTCCGCAGTCAGGGAGCAGAGAGAGGCAATCGCTGGGCTCAGCCCACGATCCCAGCCTACGAGACGGCACTGCCGCATGCAGGGGGTCTTCCCTCCTCTGCTAACCCAGTGAAGAGGTTTCCTCTCAGACTCGCACACACTCATCTATATCTTGTCAAGGTGACCATGACAACACCAAGGTCACTCTGAGACAGGAGGATAACTAAGTTCGAGGCCAGTCTGGACTGCATTGTGGGCTCATGGGACCCCTTCCTCTGGGCCACCCTGAGAAAAAGTCAGGCAGCCTGTTCCAAGGGTGCATCGGGATGGATCTTGTTTGCTGTTCTGAGACAGGGCCTCATGGTGTAGCTCAGGCTGGCCTCGAACTCACAGAGATCTGTCTGTCTCTGCCTCCTGAGTCCTGGGATTAAAGGCATGCGCCATCACTGCCCAAACATGTCTTTCAGAGACCTTGACCCAAAGGGTATTAAAGCTGTTGGTGAGAGAGATGAAATTTGGGGCCATGGCTGTTGGGGCCTAAAGAAATCAGCTAAAAACATAATGCCAAAAAAAAAAAAATCCTTTTTTAAACCAGCTCTGCCTGGGCCTGGGGATTCAGCGCTGGAACTGTGGAACTGGGGTTCGATTCTCGGCACCCCCATGGTGTTTGTGACATCATTTCTGGGCTCTGATGATCCCTTCTGGACTCTGAGGGCGCTGCATGCCCTTGGTCAGTGTGTGCGTGCGCGCCTATGTGCATGGGCTTATCTGCATGTGCACAAGTGCGTATGTGTGAGAAGTTTCCTCGTACCCCTCGGTGGCCCATAGAGTGGATGACAGGGATCCTCAGGACACAGCTTTCCCAGTGGTCACAGAAACCAGAGCTGCAGCGTCCTCTCCTTCCCGCACCGGGTGATCTCTGGGACAAGAGTGGCTCTTGTGGGCTGCAAGCATTGAGTGAGTGTGGCCAGGGTCCTGTGTAGCACCCTCCCTGCGGCCCCGTGTCCCACCCTGGGGGACCATCCGTGGTCTGGCCTGGAGCGTGGAAGGACTGGGGTCTGTCTCATTGACGGCTGGAATGTCCTGACCTAACCAGCCCTCTTTCCCTGTGGACACTCTGCTGCCCCTGTGTGACAGGGTGGGAAGTGGTCACAGCGTCCTTGTTGGTTCGGGGGTCATCCGCTGGGGTCCTGGAGTCAACTGTGACTGGACCGAATCAGGACGACCCCGGGGACCCACAGAGCTGTCTGGGGCGCCGGACAGAGTGGACGCTGCTCAAACCCCTCAGGGAACCAGCCCGAGGCCAGCCTAAGGGGACCCTAAGTTGCTCCTTCACCATGAGCCCCAGGTGTGTGGCTCTGCCCGCCCCCC